AAAGGTCAGCCAGCCTTTCTCAGGACTCCAGGCCTCATGACTAATACCAGACAGAAGCACAGTCCTCCAGGGCACCCTCTAGCCTCTGCTTTTCTTTGTGCTATCTCAGCTACTGAATTCACTGTGCTACTCTACCAGCGGTTCTCAACCTGTAAGTTGTGACCTCTTTGGGGTCAAATATCAGACATCCTGCATATCAGATATTTACATTACGATTGATAACAGTGGAAAAATTACAGTTATGAAGGAGCAACAAAAATAATGTTATGGTTGGGGTCATCACAGTATGAGGGGCTGGATTAAACAGCATTAGGAAGGTTGCGATCCACTGCTCTATGTAGTGCCTGATGTGCCCAGAGTTCACAGGCCTGCCCTGCTTGGCCCTGTAGGCATCCCACTCGTGAGACTGTGGCTACGTTAACCCAGATAAGTTAGCATTCGGAAACACGCCTACAGCTGCAGCAACGCATAGCCCTAACTGTTGACTGTGGAAGATCTGCTTTTCCTGCATTCCAGAGAGATTCTTAGACTGTCAGAGAGCCAAAGGAAGTGTGAGGCGGTCCGTGCTAACACTCCACACATCCCTAGGAACAGATGCTATGAACAAAAAGATGGCAGGACTGTGGCTCACTAACAGAGACGGGCACAGAGAACAGTGAGGGGTGCTGCACAGGCTACATGAAGCCTTGAAAACCTAGACCAATGACATCAGCGTATAAGTGACCACATCTCAACACTAGCCTCATCCTCTGCTTATCCCTGACCAAAACACTACAGAAACTTTTATTGAGCTCCACAATGCCTCGCCCCACAAGAAAGGTCCCAAATTACCATGTTCCCACCCCTACCCCTGTCCCAAGATATGTTCAAGTTCTAACTTCCTGTATCTGTGAACATAACTTTATTTGAAAATAGTCACTGTAAAAGTCACCCAGGTAAGATATAGTTGTATAGTCTTGAGTGGGCCTTGAACATAATGGCATCTTTCTAAGAAAATGGAGAGACTCAGACAGAGATGCAGGGCAAAGGCCAAGTGAAGACAGAGGATAAGCTTAAAGTGATGAAGCTGTAAGCTAAACCTAGCAAGCAGCAAGAATCACGCACCTCCAAGGGACCATATCCCCAACTATACCTTAAGTTGGGACCTAGGATGATAGGACTAAGAGAAAGTTTCTTTTAAGTCATCTGTTTTGTGGCCATGTGCTATGGTAGTTCTAGAAAACGAATACAGCCCTCAGCTCCTCGTAGATCATCCTATCCCATTTACTCACTTCAGAGCAGCTCCCACTGCATGATGGGAAGACAGCAGCGGGCCAGAAGCTTTAGCAGCTCCTGTGACCCCACTCACGGCCTGAAGCTTTAGCGGCTCCTGTGACCCCACTGCCTGAAGCTTCAGCAGCTACTATGTATGTTGTAGCATCAGCTGTATCCACTCATATTGAGGCTGTACATTGGGCAAAAAACTTAACACAGGCCCTTAAACACGCTAAGTTTCATGGTGAAACCTATCACATTATTTCCCATAAGCACATGAGGGGGGAGGGCTGTAAATCTGTGCCTTTGATTCGTGAGCAGTAGATAATTATCAAAGTAATAGTGAAACGTCCTTTATGAAGTTGAAAATATCTACTGCCATCTAATGAGATTACAGTAACAGCCAGGCTCTCCACTGCCTGAAGAGATGCATGGAGAGGTAAGTTGGACAGCGTGACTGTCCCCAAGACAGTAGGAGGTGGCCCGCTGAGGGAAGGGAGACCACATAAATTAGGGGCTCCCCTGATTCTGCTCCCACAGAAATAGCAAAGTTTTACCCAAACCACACCCATCAGTAGCCATTATAGACACTTGAACATTCTCTGCAATAGTCATTATGTAGCAGAGTTAGGGGTTTTTATTGATGGGATGCCCATTCTGTTAGAGCACTCCTTCAAGCTGGGTCTCAAACGCAGGCCTCCGCTTATGTAGCACCTCCTCTGGGAAGGACAGTTGTATTAAATCTGGTTTGGGTGCTTGTGACACAGATATGGAATGAGGGCTATGGCACCAACCTGCTACAGAATCTGTATCCGGCTCCCATTTTCCTCAGCCACATTGTGCCACTTTCTTCCTTAGGAACGTGCTTCCATTTTCTACTGCCTACCAATCAAATTCAGGCTTCCTGGCCCTTCATTTCCCACTCCCTCCCGTCCTTTGGCCTGCCTTTCTCCACAACTCCCTGCTTTGGTCATCTCATCACCATGTGCTTCCTTAGCTTTCTGCTCCTAAACTGATACAGGCCTTTGCTCCCCAACTGGAAACCCACGCCTCTCCACAAAAGGAAACAGTACAAAGCAAAATGGTTTTCAGGAACCAAGAGTCACTGTGTTCGTGTTCTAGAATTCTAACAGCAGCCTCTCTTTTTATGTCAACTCTTGCCAGTACAAACTGTGTGAAATCTTCCTTCTATGCTAGCTTCCCAGCAATCCAAAGTAAATACCGCCAATTCAGGGTTGTTTGTTTGTTTTTTAAACATTAAATTGGCTGGGTGACAGCAGTGGTGCACACTTTTAATCCCAACACTCAGGAGGCAGAGGCAATCAGATTTCTGTGAGTTCAAAGCCAGCCTGCTCTGCAGAGTGAGTTCCAGGATGGTTGAGGGCTACATGGAGAAACACTGTCTCAAAAAAAAAAAAAAAAAAAAAAAAAAAAAAAAAAAAAAAAATCATTAGATACATTTATTGTGTGTGTGTGTCTGGTTTGCAGTGTGCTTGTAGAAGTCAGAGGACAATATGTAGGCCCAGGAGTGAAATCCAGGCTTCACTGACACGTGTCTTTACCAGATGGGCCACTTGACAGACCTCAGCACTATCATTTTTAAGTTGCACAATAAAAACACTCAACAGCTCACTCATCTGCCTACTCGATGAACAAAGGATTGTGAGCAGAGGCAAAACATAAAATTGCTAACTCTTGGCAGTGCTCATATTTTCCAGTCCTGGATGGGTAAAACAAGTGGAATAAAGATCATGCCATCCACAAGAATAACTGATGCTACGTGCTTTGAAAAGGAGACAGTTCTGCAAGTGAGGGGATCTCCACATGCTCAGCTAACAGGAAACACAACCTTCTCTCAAATTTCCCATCAAAGCATGGTCTCCTAGCAACAGCCACTGAAAGGTAAAGCTTCTGAGATTTCGATTTTACTGTTATGTATTCTTTGTGACTCAACCTTTAAGGGTATGAAATGTCAAAATTAAGATGAAATTTCCACTTGCCGAAATGAAATTAAAGGAATTGGTATATCACTCGAACAACATGAAAGTTCTCACTCAGCTTACTAAAGAACTATTAAAGTTCTGGCCAAAATCTTTGAAAATTCAACTGGTAAAAGATTAAGTTAAAAGCTTAAAGTTGTATTAATGAGCAACTTGGAGTTCAAAGTAACTCTTTTAATACAAAATGTATTTACTGCTCTATCTTTTTTTTTTTTTTTTTCCTAAAGTCAATGAAAAATATCACTACTACTGAGTGGTAAAAGGTTCTCAGCATGCACAGGGTCCTTCCTTGAATGCCAGCACTGAAGGAGAAAAACAAGGAAAGAATGAGTTCACCTAAAAGCTACAGAAGCCAAATCTTTGACAGGAAACATGGGTCACTTTACTTAGCTATAAGCAGTAGTAACCCATATCCAAGCCTGCCCTGTATCTAATCAAGGTACACTGAAAATACTACCATTAAAAAGTCGAAGTAAAATCGGCTGGTGAGGCTGTGTGCAGTGGTGCACACCCTTAATCCTAGCATTCAGGAGGCAGAGTGACAGGCAGGGCTCTACGTTCAAGGCCAAGGGCCTGGTCTGCATAGTGAGTTCCAGGCCAGTCAAGGCCACAGTCTCAAAAACACACAAAAGTCAGCTGGTGAAATAGCTGGGAAGGGGGCTCAGTTGGTAGCCAGCTTGTACAGCACATATGAAGCCCTAGATTTAGTCCTCAAAACCACATAAAATGGGCATGACAGTTCACATTATAATCCCAGCTCTCTGGAGGTTAGGACAGGAGAACCAGAAGTTCAAAGTCATATTCAGCTACACAATGAGTTTGAGGCTAGACTGAGTCACAAATGACCCTTGTCTCCAGAAACAAGAAAATAAAAAAAAATAAGAGAAAAAAAAAATCCCCTGGTCAAAACCACAGCTTCTCAAAAGAAATCCCTGTATATTGTCTTTGGAAATGTGAGTTACTCTAGCTATTATGTAAACATATTCTGGGAGGGAAACTGATACAGCAATCTAAGGGTTAAACTGGCGTGCGGAAAGGCTGTCTGTGACCTCAGCCGGCGGCCACGCCAATTACAACAGCTCAGACGTAGCTACTCGGCTATAGATACACACGTCATATAGATGTATATATAGGTATGTATATATGACATGTTTTCTATACATACCTATATATACATATACACACACACAACAGGGTACTGTTTATCCTTTAAGAAGGAAACTGTATTTGCAACAACATGGATGAACCTGGGAGACATTAATCAGAGATATAAGCCAGAAATATAAATTCCATGGGACCCCATTTTTATGGGGTGGGGGTGGGGGTCTATAAAAGCCAAACTCAAGACTGATTGTCAGACCCCAGGGCAGTGGTTCTCAACCTGTGGGTCATGACTCTTCAGATCAAATGAGCTTTTCACAGGGTTCACCTAAGACCACTGGAAAACAGATATTTACATTCTGATTCCTAACAGTAGCAAAATTAGTTATAAAGTAGCAATGAAATAATTTTATGGTTCAGGGTCACCATAACAAGCAGAACTAAAGGGTCACAGCATTAGGAAGGTTGAGAACTACCGCCCTAAGGTATAGGGATGAGGAATACAGATTTGGGTCAAAGAGTGCATGTTTTTCACTAGAGAAAGGAAGAAATGTCTGGGAAGTATTGCAGAGTCTAAGCTAGAGTTAATAATTGTACAGATTTCCTTGAGAGCAGACATTGGCCAAAAGAAAGAAAACTGTGAGCTGACAGATGTCTGTAAATGGATTTACTTGTTCCAGAATATGAACATATATCAAAACATATTGCATCCCCATAAGTATATAAAATTACTGTCAAATACATAGGAAAAAGGCGGCAGCTTCTTATCATCTGCCATCAAGGATTTTTCCTTGAAACGCTGGTGCATACATGTTACCATTTTGACATTACAGAGCCATTAAATCAAGTCTCAGTTGTCAGTAGGCGGCCTCCCCTCACTGCTCCTAGCTTGGCTCTTGCCCATCCTTCCAGACCACACACCAGAACCTACAGTTCTCTATCCAGGGTAGCGGTTTCTTTACTTGTGTGTGTGTATAGGCACGCACAAGGTTCTACAGGTGTGGAGGTGAGAGGTCAGTGTCAGGTGTCTTCCTCAACGCTCTCCATCAGTTTTTGAGAAAAGATTTCTCACTACCCGGAGCTTTCACCTGCTCCTTCGTGCCCCGTGCTGGGATTATAAGCACACACTGGCATGGGTATGTGGTGCTGAGGATCCAAGCTCAGTCCTGTGCCTGTGAGCCAGCGGGGAAGGGGGCTATCCCCAGCCAGGATGCCGGCTTCTTATGTTACCTTCCCTAGCGGTGGTCAGGAATACATGCAGCAGCGGCTGCTCTAAGCTGTATGGTGAAATGATACGCTCGTGCTATCCTGCCCCCATACAAATCCACATACCGGGTAAATTACAACAACTGTAAAGTATAAGCGCATTGAAAGCTCAAAGCACACGGCTAGACTGTACCACGTCCAGATGAAAATGTTCACAGTGGCATGGCTTAGATAGCAAAAACTGGCAAACAGCCAACGCCCAGCACGAGAGCGACTGCACTACATTCACTCCACCTACCGAATAAAAATACATCGTGCCATTTATATAAAATTCAAAATATACAAAACTAACAGTAGGGCAAACACAACTCAGAATGATAATCCCTGGAGGGAAAAGGGACATAAGGGATGTCCATAGCAAGTGACACTTGTATCTTTTACCTGTGGCCAAGTACACACACACTTCTAATTTACTGCATTTTATGTCTTACATACAAGTTTATGGACTCCTGTGGTATGAAACGCTTCACTTAAAAAAGTCTAAAAATATGAAAGATGTTTAATATGAACATTACCATGTATGCATAACAATAAAATTTGTATAAAAAACTATACACAAAAGATACCACTCTCTTCCAGTGCCCCACACGTGTCATCGGGGTTGACCTAACATGGAACCACATGTGTGGGCAGGAACTCTGAGTGCATCTGCCAGTGCTTCAAGTCAGGCAGCAGCAGACCTGCTAGCCAGTTGCTCCCACTGCTCATCTGTACTTCGATTTTTCCTTGTCTTTGGATTTCTTTGGACTTCTGCTTCGGTCCCTCTTTCTACTCCTTTCCCTTTCATAAGGATCTTTCTGGTACTTGGTTTTGTGGCTGTTACTATAGTGACCATCCCTTTCTTGAGATCGGCTCCGGCTGCGGTTCTGACGGCGATCTCTCTTTTCATTCTTTTGTTTCTCCCAATAGCTTTCTTCTTCTTCGTAATGGCCAAAACCCATTTCTCTGTAGATATCCTGTCAAAGAAATGCAGTTTTAAAGCCAGTCAGTAAAACCTTCACCTGTGAGCACTGTCAGTTCATAAAGCCTAGAAAAATCAGCCATTAGCAAGCCATTGCAGCAACTCAAATTCACTTTTTTATTCATTGCTTTTATTTTAAGTTGGCTCCTGCTATGCTGCCCAAGTTGGTAATGACCTCACGCTCCTTCAGTTGCCTGCCCAGATGGCTTCAGTGTGTGCCACCACTAACGCTAGAATCTTGTACACTGTTTTAAAGTAAGTAAGCCACAAATTGGTTTACATATATTTCAGTTGAAGGATCAGATGCAAAAGCATGGAGCTGAAGCAGCCAAGTAAACCCTCAACAGAGTTTAGTTTTTGCTCCTAACGGTATCTGAGGGACAAACCCAGGGCTTCACAAATGCCAGGCAGAAGTTCTGACACCCCTAGCCCTGGAGCAACCCAGTGTTCTGATTATATACAATCATATTCCAATCATTATCCACTTTCCCAAAATGTGGTCCCATTGCTGAACTGCAGTAAAACTACTAAAGTTCCTCTAATAATTCCACAAAGAAATATCACTCAAAAACACAAAGAGATAAGTCAGTCAGGCTGAAAACAAAACAGACACTGCAAATTTTGGCCTGTACAAAGCCACAGCACCTGCCAGGCTGGTCTTAAGCTCATTCTCTAATCCAGGCAAGCCTTGAACTCCTGACCGCCCCCACCCACCACGTCTCAACCTCCTAAGTAGCTAGAATTAGAGGTTGTGTGAGCACACCTTCATCATTTTTTCTTTAAACTAAAAGATAAATAAATTGGTGCTGGGCCAAACTCAAGGCCTCACGCACACTAAGCACACATTCTACTGTTCCCTTAGCCCTGGTGACTTTTAAAGTGTTTTTAAAAATGTCATCTCTCTAATCTTCAAATACATTTTCTATGGTCTGATGTGTTATATATGTTATATACGATGTGTTAACGCTCTTACCATGTCAGGCATGGTGGCACACACCTTTCATCCCAGCACTTAGGAGGTGGAGACAGGCAGATCTCTATGAGTTTGAGACCAGCCTGATATACATAGCAAGCTCTAGACCAGCCAAGGGTACACAGTGAGACCGTCTTCAGAGAGAAAAAAAATTCTTACTTCTCTATCCTTCAAAGTGAATTAAGAAACAATCCACTGCTGTCAAGACAACAAAAAAGTGTATCTGGGCTGGAGGTACAGGGGTGGCCTACTAGAGTGCATACTTAGCAAGCCCACAGCCCCCCAGCCTGACCCCCAAACACGGATATCTGGAGAAATGAGATCCATTTTGACTACTCAGCAGCCAAGAGTCAGCTAAACACTACTTAGTTTCCTGTAACCTAGTAAAACCCAGATCTCAAAACCACCTGCAGGATTACGGCATAGGGTGAAAAACTGAACAGGTAAGTTTCTGAACTGAATAGCAAGGCTGCCATAAAACAAGCAACTTAAGAAACAAGTTAAAACATCCTTGTGAAACTGGACATTCCAGCAAATAGGTGCAAACAGGAAAATCTGAGCGTATACACAGCTTGTACTGAAATTCCTGTTAATAACTGTCTTTGAAACGAAAATAAAAATATTAATGCTGAGCTTTCTAAACAAAGTAATTAATAGAGCTATATTATAAAATTAAATTATGAAACAAAAAAATGTATTTACAGGGAAAAGGTTAAAAATTTTTAATTTAGGATTCACTTTTTTAGTTATAATCTCCAAAAATTACTTTAAAAACTGAGGCTGGAAAGATGGCTTAGTGGTTAAGAATACTACTATCTGCTCTTCCAGAGGTCCTGAGTTCAATTCCCAGCAAGCACAATGGGATTGAATGTCATCAATGTCACACTGTGGCTTGCAACCATCTATACTAGGCCCCGATGCCCTCTCTGGCATGCAGGTGTACGTGCAGACTGAGTACTCACCTACATTAAATAAATAAATCTTTTCAAATTTTATTTTAAAACTTAGGGTGTGGTATCAGAGGATAGCTCGCAGTGGGGTTGATAATTTCCTTCCACATTGTTGAGGCAGAGTCTGCTGTATCATCACTTTCTGCCAAGCTGGAGCAGCATGTCCTCATGCTGGTCCTCAAGTTTCTGGGAGATTTTCCTGTTTCTGCTTTCCATTAGGTTAGGGTTAGGAGTGTAGAGATTACAGATGTTTAGCACGACAGTAAGTTGTTTTTTTCTTTTCTTTTTAAATGTAGGTTCCAGGGACTGAACTCAGGTCATAAAATTTGCATACCACCAAGTGCTTTTTACCTGCTGAACCATCTCCTCAGCCCTTAAAATATTTTTAAAAATGCTAAAAGCATTTCTGTATTTTTACTGCATATGAAAAGAAAAAGACTGCCAAAGTAAAGTTTTAAGTAATCACAAAGTAGGGGCGTGGAAGATCACTCAGTCATTAAGTGCCTGTGAAAACCAGTACAAGGGCCTGAGCCCAGATCCTTAGCTCCCACGTGGGAAGTTAGGGAGATGGAGCAGTGACAAACAGATCTCTAGAGCTTGCTTGTCAGTGAGTTTAGCCAATCAGTGATCTCTGAGCTCAAAAAAAAAAAAAAAAAAAGGATGGAGAACAGAAAAAGACACTTAACTTGAACCTCTGCCTCCATATACAGGAACATACACATGCACAGACAGACAGACACACACCCCACAGATATCTACCTGTATACAAACATGCACAAAAGCATAAATATAAATTTAAAAGTACCCACCCCTAAGGTAGGATAAAAAGGTTCCTAACAGTGGGGAGAAGAGGAACTTGCATTTCTTTAAACCTCTGATTATCTCAAATGGATTCACTGAAGATTCATAAGTACAGGTTTGAACATCTGTAGCTAAAAGAAACATGGAGAGGGGGCTTCGAAGATTTTAGTAGCAAGTATGTTAAATATTCATAGAAATGTGATCATGACATCTATTTTAACAGAATTGAGAGGAAGGAGGTGGGCAATGAAGATGGTTTAGAATGGCCTGTAAGCCAAGTAGAGACAGGAGGATTGCTTAAGCTTGTTGGCTACCAGTTCTGGTGCAGGCTTCCTAAGAGATGCTGACGCAAAGGAATAAAGTGAAGACTGATGAAGCAGGGCACCTGACGCCTCCTGTCGTCTCCAGAGCATACTCTCTGCGCACATGTGTGCATGCACTAACATGCCCTGCACACACAGACAGACAGACAGACAGACAGACAGACAGATTGATAGATAATTTGGGGAGGACAGAGGAGATATTCTGGTTAGATCACTATGGGTCAATTCTATTAGAGTAACAGTGTTAAGAAAAGGAATGACAATATATTCGGGGGGGGGGTAAAACACACAGACAACTTGGACATCAATACTAACATCATAAACAAACACACACACACACACACACACACACAGAGAGAGCACATAAAATATGTTGTCACCTACAAGGGGAAGAAAAGGAGAAATGCGATGGGGTTCAAGTTACATGTCTTATGTGTACTATTATGTAAATTATACTTTCTTTGAAACTCAGAGCCTCACTATGTAACAGCCTGGCTTCAGGCTCTTGCCCTTCCTGCCTCAGACTTGAAAGCACTACAGTTACAGATGTGTGCCACCATGGTATTCAGTTAGATTTCATTTTTGAACCTTATTGTTTTAAAAACTACAAATCATTTAATCTTCCTATTGGGAGGCAGAAGCAAAGACAGACAGATCTCTTTGAGTTTGAAGACAGCCTGGTCTACATAATGAGGTCCAGGCCAGCTAGGTCTACACAGTAAGATCTTGTCTCAAAATAAAGCAGGCCACAAAACAAAACTATAACCTCCCCCAAAAAGTTTTGTGCAAGCCATTAACATGAGATGGAAAATGAGACAAACTACCTGAAATAAGAACTAAGCTAATGTCATGGGCACAGGGAGAACTACTGTACGTGACCTTAAAGCAGCACCTGACAGTACCAGCGGAAGTAATGAGATTAGCCAGACATAGAAAATATTTGCACACACTTGCCCACATTTATTGTAACACCCTGTCTGAAGTATCTCCTTTCTCAAAGAAGGAAACTGTGACTCAAAGTTAACTTGCCAAGGTCACATCAATGACAAGCAGCAGAAACTCTTAACTCTCCCCAGCAAAGCCTTGACTCTGCTTACCCTAACACAGCTCTTCATCTGTGCCTGATTGACATTCTCACAGTGTTCCTTCCCCACCTTAGTCTACTGAAATCCCCATTCACCAGGACCACCTCAAATGACTAAATAAAGTAAAAATGGTAAAAATAAAAGCATGGATCTATGATAGAATGGCTTTTAAAAAATATTTTACAAAAGCAAAAATAGGCTAGAAATACTTCATTATTACTATTTTAGGAAATATACTACTCTGGGGAGCTTTGACATGATGTTTAATTATGAGTGCTATTTTACTTTTCATCTACAGTATAGACAGGACATAAACCTAAAGGGCTAGCCAAGGGTAACAGCTCACACCTGTCATCCTACCAACTGGAAGGCAAAAGCAGCAGGATCAGGAGCTCAAGGACAGCTCCTGCTACATATCAAGTTCAAAGTCAAATAAACAAACAAACCAAAGAAACCTTGAAGCCTACTAGCAGTGCTATCCATGCTGATCACCAATGTTTATTGTAGCACTATTCACAACAGCTAAGTTAAGGCCACAACCAGTGTCTAACAGTGGAAGAATGAATGCGGAAAATGTGGATATACACAAATGGAAAAAATTTTTATTAAACATTTAAAGTGCTGAGGGGCTGACAGACAGTTCAGCATTTAAAAGATTTTGCTGCTTTTCCAGAGGACCCATGTTCAGTTCCTATCACCCGCATAAGGTCGGCTTGTAACTCCAGCTCCAGGGGATCCAAAGCCCTCTTCTGACCTCCAATGGAAAGTACCATGTATGTATAGACATGTATGCATGTATGTGTAAATTAAATTATAATAAAAAACTTTTCTGTTTGGTGTTTTTTTTTTTTTTTTTTTTTTGAGGCAGGGTTTCTCTGTGTAATAGCTTTAGCTGTCCTGGAACAGAGCAATGTAGACCAGGCTGGCCTCGAACTCACAAAAAATAAATCTTCTTAAGTGTTGACAAGCGGCCTGCACGAAAAACACTGCACACATAATAAAGTGTTGATAAGCTAGCAATTAAGGAAATTTTCAATGGAACAAATTTGGTTTTGTTTTTTTGTTTTTGATGAAAATGGGTATCCATATGGTAAGAAGATCATTCTTGGTTACAATGTAGAAATGTATAATAATTTAAATTACTCTGAAAACAGTATTTATCCTACAGGATACATTCTTTAAAATTTAAGCTCATTAGCTTGTGTGGCCATCCATAGCTCAGAGCAAGAAATAAATGTTTAAAACTACACCTTATCCCTAAATCACACCACCAAGATGCACTGTACACAAAAATACCGATTTTTTTTTCATATTTAAGCCTGAATATTAAAAATACCTGATTAGGATTTTTGATTGGCATGTAATCTTCATCCTCTTTTTCTTCAGAGCAGTGACATGTTTTCTTTTTGTGTTTTTTACTTGTGTGTGAATGACTTGATTTTGAATCTTCTGCCTGCTCATCCAGTATAAGATCGTATTTTGCACTGAAGAATTTAATTAAGGATTAATGGGACAAACGACGGAAAAGAAACAAAACATAAGAAATATGGTAAATACTGGAAGCAAAAAAGTTAAATATAGCTTAAAGCAAACAGCACCTGAAAGCACAGTATACTTTTCTAGAACAAGTAATACAGTGTCTTCACTATGGTCAGGAGAACTGGAAGAGATTCTGGGATCAGGCAGCTAACAACTACCATGGAAAAGTTATAAGGAGAAAAGAACCCAAAATATATTTGTCAATAATGAAAAAACTTAATTTAGAAAATGAGGCATGTCATCAACTAGAGAAACTGAAGGTATTATGAACCCCAAAGCCAAACACATTCTAGAGAAAAGGTACATTGCATGACTCTCTTTGGATCAGGAGATTTAGCAATAAACAGTGATGATGCAGAAATTATCCTAAGAATTTATAGCAACTAAAACTGTAAATTACACGAACACAGATATACATACTAGCACCATTTTAATTATATAAAATGGGAACAATATTTAATAATATTTAATAAAACACATCTTAGTCTCATAGCATGATGTAATATAAAAGAAATTGTTAATTATTTTTAAAGACTATGATGGCCTATATAAAAAAATAAAAGTGGAAAAAAAGTTCAAACACTGTATGGTTGAACCCAGGACTAGGAGACAAAGCAGGCACATTTCTGTGAGTCTAGTATGTAGCAAGTTTCAGGCCACTTAGAGCTACATAGTAAGATTCTGTCTGAAAAGAAACAAGCAAACAAAGCCACACAGACTAGAGGTTGGAGCTAAGAATACTTGCTGCTCTTCTAGAGGACCTGCATTCTGTTCACAGCACCCATGTCCAGAGACCCCACACCCTCTTCTGGACTCTTTGTGTACCCATTATACATCTACATACCTATCCACAGATATACACACATACATAAACCATAATTTTAAAAAAACAACTCTTTTTAAAAAACTTTATGAACAGTAGCGCATACTTGTAATCCCAGCTATTCAAAAGTGAAGGCAAAAAAAAAAAAAAAAAAAAAAAAAAAAGACTAGTCTGAGACTAGCCTGGGCTACAAAGTAAGCCCTGTCTAGGGAAAAAATGGGACCCTACACATACAATACAGTAATTTTAACTTCATCAAACTTTACAAAAGACAAAGGCCTGAAAAATAAAAAGCATCATTTGTGTATGTGATCTGTGTATGTGGCAGAAGTAAGCAAATCTTTTTCTAAATTTTATATGAAATATCACTAAAACTTTAATTGTGACTGAAGCCAAGCTCTTTGGTAGAGTGCTTGCTACCATACAGAGAACCCTGGGTTTGATCCTAGCACAATAAAAATGCTTTAAATAACAAATAAGTAATTTCTCTAATGTAATATAAAGCCTCAGAATAAAAGAAAGCATAAACTGGGAATGTTGATGCATTCCTTTAATATGAGCACTTAGGAGGCAGAGGCAGGCAGATCTCTTAGGAGCCTGAGACCACCCTGGTGTACATTAGTGAGCTCTAGGACAACTACACAGTGAGACTTTGTCTCAACAAAACCATACGTAAGAGAAAGTATAAACCTAGTGTAAAAACAATCTCACTCTCTAAAGTAGACTGAGCTCTAGAATGTGAAGAATGAGGGAAAGCCTAACACACAAGTACTACTTTAGCTGCATCTGGGACTGCAGTCACCACAGTCATGTCCTTCAGAACCAGAATCTAAGGTCTGCATTCATAGCACCGCTGCCTAGGCTTTCGTAAGCATATCCCATATATACACACCATCAAAAAGTTAACAATATCCTCTCTAGCTTCCCACAAGATGGCCAGATAGTCAATCCCATTATTACTTCACTATCTACAATTTCTTTCCTTTTTTATACTATGTCTGATTCTTTCCAATGTTCTTCAAACTGAAGGTCAGAATTCTGCAATGAGATGTAGAGTTTATGGTTCATAACAAGCAATTTTAGAAGTCACATAGAATAAGAAATAGAGAACAGTATCTAATAAAAATACTGTTAGTGGGGTATAGCTCAATGGGAGCACACTTGCATAGCGTGTGCAAGATCCTGGGTTAAATCCCCAGCACTGTCAGAAAAAAAAAAAAAGCAAGCAAACAAAAACACCTTACAAAATTTTGAGTTATATGTGCAGGGTTTGTGTATGAAAGATCTGCGTGTCTGTGTATATATATATATATATATATATATATATATATATATACATACATACATACATGAAAGAGGATATATGATTGAACTAGGTAAGACATACACTTTATTTTTTAAAGATGAGGTTCTAAAAGTTTCCAAGCTTCACCATGAACTAGAAGGTAACTGGAATCTTATGAATTCACCCACACTCCTAAACCTTCTAAATAATGTTAAAGAAAACAGTATCAAGGGTGGGGAATAGCTCAATTAATAGCGTGGTTGCCCATTCATGAAAACATTTTAGTGCTCCAAACTTACAAATAATCTCTTGACTCCCTTGTGGTCAGCAGGCCTCCTTGGGAAGCATCTCTGCTTCTGCTCTCTCTGCAGCCACACTTCGTCATTTGTTCTAGACCCCCTTCCGGGGTTAGCCTAAACTTCCGGTCACAGGCACACATCCATCTGTGCCTTTATGACTATGGGCTTTAATCACATGCCTTCTATACCCTTTATGACTATGGGCTTTAATCACATGCCTTTTATACCCTTTTTAAAGACCAACCTCAGCTTGCTGGTCTGGCTGCCAGTAAAGCAAGCTGGGTTATGCTGTCAGCTCCCTTCAGACTCTAGCTCTAACACATCCCAAGGCTTTGAGTGCTGCAGATGAGCAACACACTTAAAAGCATGAATACCTAAAGGCCAAACTGATACTCATCTTTCCTTGATGAATACTCACCACAAGAAATGCCTATGAAACACAGGAGAAGAGAATCTCTTCTCATCAACAAAAACTAGGAAACAAAGATGCCATTTACCAGACATGATCACCAGACCTCTGCAATGTGTGGAGTGATAGATTATAATGGGAAAAATGATGGTCAAACAAATAAAAATGACATAATACAAACAGTATGCTTCACTGCTTTTCTTACCTGCTGCAACTTAAAACTTGGAAGAACCTAAATTACATGGTCAATAGATTTCTTTCTAAGCCTACAAATGTCAACTATTGTACTGAATAGGAAGGAGTCCTAACAAAGATTTAGCAAATCTGTTGCCAAAATGATACAGAAAAAAGCAATCTAATTGTGTGCAAAGAATTACAAGATTTTGTTATCTACATTAGGAAATTAAATATAAGAGAATAACACAAGGATATTCGATAGAAAGGAATTTAAAACATTAGTATATATAAAAATATCAAATTTACCTGACGATCTTCTGAGAACACTGGATAAGTGGGAAAAGTATTTATGGTAATAGTAGGAGGTAAGATATTTAAGCTTAAGGTTTCCTTCAAACCCAACTTTCTCCATAATACAAAATATACCGAAAAGGCAAAGTCTATGGAAAATACTGACAAGCTGTGACAAACTGTTTCTTCACAATGATCTCCACAGTGGATGGCCAAGCATACAGTTCTTATAAAGGATACTCTTGTTTGGGCTTTACTTTTTCTTTCAGAACCAAATTGGATGGTTTATCTTGTTCCTTTTCATATTCCTTGAAATCACTCTTGGTGTATTTCCCACCTATTTATTAAAAGGAAGAAGAATTAGCATCATGTAATGACACATTAATAATTTTATAAAACACAAAGGGCTACTGTATAAAAGGCACAACCTGGGAGGTAGAGAAGGAAGGAAGGACAAAAGGACCATAGCAAGCCCGCCTGCTATCTAGCTGAAAGTGGATGTCCAATTTTCTTGGTAGTCATACGCTGCCACCTAACGACACATGTGAAGATTACAACATCCAATAAAATAAGTACCCACACTACATTGTTCAAGTAGTCCATGCATCAGCCAGCTGCTACCACTACTCCTAAACAGACATGTGACCACCCCACCCCAATAGAACTGCAATTATAGCACGAAAAGACACATCAAGGGCTGGAGAGATGGCTCAGAGGTTAAGAGCACTGGCTGCTCTTCCAACGGTGCCAAGTTCAATTCTAGCAACCATATGGTGGCTCACCTCCTCTGGCCTGCAGGCATACATGCAGGCCAAACACTGTATATGTAATAAATAAACCTTAAAAATACAAAACTCGAGAGGCTGGTTTGGGAAGGGTACAGGCTTGGTGAGACTGGTGAGCCACACTGGGTCAGGTTCCTCCTTCACCTACAAGAGAAGCCGACTCAGAGCGAAGCTGACCCTTCTGTATTATGATCCAATTGTGAACAAAAACAGCTCTCTTCGTGGAACAGAAAAAGCTACACTCTCTCTAAGCAGTGGGCTGGAAATGAACTTGATTTACAAATGAGAAGACCGAGGATGCGGCACTGGTTCAGAACCGTGCAGCATTCACTGAAGAAGAGGAAACTACAGCATGGCCTTTGGTGAGGTAAAGACCTATCACCAAAGGATAGCAACAATTTGATGTAAAGGAACAATTTGGAAAAAAAGGTTTTCACACAGACCAGATATTTATCTCTGGACTTTTTTATAGACCTTAATAAAAATATTGAAGAAGACATCAATTCATCTTCACAAAGCACTGAGAAGAGCACTAACCATGTATTTCAATAGCAGGGAAGGAATCATAAGACACAGGAGCACAATGTAAGTCACTCCCTCCTCTTAGAGATCAGGGCTTCCAGTGGCCTTCCAATTGCCAACTCTACCAACTGATCTCTCCCTTTTCTAAACCCTCAGAAGGTGAAATAGCCCTTCCTGCCAAACTATCCATTTATTTTTAAAATGCAGTAAAATCATGGGAAACAAATTACAAATGGTATAGAAAAAGTAATCTTGAGGCTGAAGTGATGGCCCCATGGTTCAGAGCACACACAGCTCTTTGCAGAGGACCTGGGTTTGACTCCAAATACCCACATTATGGCTCATAACGATCTGTAACTGCAGTCCCAGGGATCTGATCTCTGGCCTCTGTTGGCACCAGGCATACACATGGTGAACATACATATGCACAGACATACAAATAAAAATAAAGAAATCTTTCAAAAGTGAAATAAAGGGAATCCTAATTTTTCTGGTAAAAGTTAACATTACATGTGATTAACTACCAAAGTGAAACCTTTTTTGTTGTTGTTTTTGGGTTTTTGAGACAGGAGCTTAACTATTTAGCCCACTGGCCTGGAAATGGCTATGTAAAATAAGCTGACCTCAAACTCACAGAGATCTGCCTGCCTCTACCTCCCCAGTGTAAAACCTTAAGTGAAACCTTTTAAAAACACTGTAAAGAGAAGGAAAACTGAAGGGGAACATGTCTTTGTCAAGCTGGAGGCCTGTGACAGGGCAGGCTCCCGGGAAGATACAGGTGTGACTCTAGCTGAGACTCCTGAAGGAGAGGCATGAAGACTGGGGTGACCACCTCCTAGCCAGGCAGGAATAGTGGAGGGAGGGAAACAACAAACCCAGGGTCAAAACCTCTGATCCAAACATTATCCTGCCTACAAGAAGGGCAGGAATAAAGAGAGAACAAAGACTGAGGGAATGTCCAACCAATAACTGGCCCAACCTGAGACCCACCCTATGGGAGAGAGCCAGCCCCTGACACTGTTAATGATACTTTGCTATACTTGCAGACAGGAGCCTAACCTGACTGTCCTCTGGGAGGCTTTACCTAGCACCAGATCTAGACAGATGCTAGGACTTGCAGAGGTCCTGTGGAAGTGTTGGGGGAAAAGATGGAAGGACTTGGAGGGGAGATGAACCTCACAAGAAGAACAACAGAGACAATTAACCCAGTCTCAGGAGTCTTATAGAGACTGAGACATCAACTAGGGAGCATGCATGATCTGGACCTAGGCCCCCTGCATATATGTGCCTGATGGGTGGATTGGTCTTCATATGGGGTGCCTGGCTAGTTGAGGGGGTGTGTATGTGTGCTGTTTTTGAGATGGACTTTGGATCACTTCCTCCTGGCAGAGCTACCTTGACTGGCCTCAGGGATGAGGATATGCCTAGTCCTCATGGACTTGGTATGCTGGAAAGGGCTGATACGGGGAGAAAGGGAGAGGAGAAGGGGGAAGGAGAGAAAGGGGGGACTAGGAAGAGATGAGGGAGGGGGCACTCTTGGAATATAAAGTAAATAAACTGGAATAAAAAATACAAACCCCGCAAAGCATCTTAAGCTCAGGTAGGAATATATCTGAATGACAGGACACATGTCTGGCCTCTACAGGGTTACTACACACACACATGAGCACGCACACACAGTTAATGAGATAAAAACTCACAACTAGCGAATGGGAAGTCAACACTTACAAGACTGAAGCAGGATACTAAGTTTGAAACCAACCTAGACTCCATAGAAAAACTGTCTCAAAAAAAATTTCACATTCATTTAACCTGAAAGATTTAAACTAAAAAAAGAGAGAAAAAATATGCATGGGTGTACAAAGAATGGCTGAAGAAAGAACAGGCAACTGGTTATTTCTGGGAAGAGCAATTGGAAGAAGAGCGGAAGAGAATCTTACACAACAAAAACAAGAAAAAAAAAACCTTTTTAAAATTTTGTATCTAAAAGAACCAAATCATCAAGAAGTCTTAATTATTTCAACAGCAAATGTCTTCCATGGGTAATTTAAAATATAAACAAACATTAAAGAAAGGTATTTTCATCCATCAACACATATACACACGTTCTAGATACCAGCTTTATAAAATCCTAAGTGACCTGAATTCTATTAACATTTCTCGTAATTAACAGCACAAAATTAAAGCAATGCATGTACACACACACACACACACACACACACGCACACACACACACACACACACAAACTATCAATAAAAAGAGATAAAGAGATAAACCAACATACCTTTCCCTTTCCATTTAACCTTTGCCACTGACTGGCTAAAATCCACATGTATTCTCCTGTCATCTATAAGTACATTATCCATTTTGAAAAATGCTTTCTCACAGTCTTCTTCCTATTAATGATTACAAAAGCTCAAGCATGAATGTTTACAGGAAAGACTTCTGCAGGAAGAACAAATACTGTAAATACAAAAAGGCTGTTATTATTAAAATTGCTATTCAAGTACTTCTTACTCAGCAGATATTAAATGTATTACATCTACCATCTCAATTAACGCTGGAAATAACCTTCTGAGGCTGCATTTCTTTATTATCTCCATTATCTCAATGAGAAAGCAGACACTTGATGAGGTACAGAAGGAGCCAGGGTCAGTGCCATCATGTGAACTGAGGCAGCCTGACCGCAGTGGACATGATATACTTACCAACTAGAAGATACAGGCCTATAGTTCTAGTTACTCAAAACGTAAAAACACTATGTCCCCCAGAGTGTCATCTTCATAATTCTGGTGTTAAGTTTAGCAGGGGGACTGGGGAGATGGCTCAGTGGTTAAAAGCACTGGCTGCTCTTCCAACGGACTGTGGTTCAATTCCCAGCATCCACATGGCGGCTCACAACTGTCTATAACTCCAGTTCTATGGATTCTGACACCTTCATACCAACACACAGAGAGTAAAATTAAGTGAATTATTAAAGGGAAAAAAAAAGGTTTAGCAGGGATTTGGGATAGCACAGCAGTAGAATACTTGCTTAGTATGCCCAAAGAACCAGGATTGGAAAGTTGAGGGAGAATTCCCAGAATCAAACAAAAACCCCTGCAAACCAGGCAGTAGTGGCACACAATTTTAATCCCAGCACTCAGGAAGCAGAGGTAGGTGATCTCTGTGAGTTCAAGGCCAGTCTGTAGTCCATGACAACCAGGGCTACACAAAGAAACAAAAACCCAAACAAAACAAAAAACCTGGCAATTTGGCAGCAGTATCTAACCTAACAGGGAACTATGGCCATTTTCAAAATCAACTTAGCAGCCAGGCACAGCAGCACACCCCTGTAACCCTAGCACTCAGGGAGGCAGAGGCAGGTGAATCTCCATGAGTTCGAGGCTAGCCTGGTCTATAAATTGAGTCCAGGACAACCAAGGCTACATAGAGAAACTCTGTCTAGAAAAATCAAACAAACAAGCAAACACATCAACAAAAACCATCTTAGCATGACTGGTCATCTGTTTCAATGCATAAGTATTTTTATAAGCCAAAGTAAAGCTCTCTCTTCTGCTGGCACCAACAAACCTTGGTAAATAAAAACTTTAGTACACATGACATAGAATCTATGTATAATCTTTTACATGTATGTTTTTCCTAATCATCCATTATTCATTTTGAACCCCTAGGATGTAAGACAGTGCCTAAAATATAGAATATATTCAATAGATATTTTGGAATTAATTTAACTTGTAAAAAGACACTACTAGACATGAGCTGGCCCAAATCTACAATTTAAAAAAAAAAAAAAAAAAAAAAAAAAAAAAAAAAAAAAAAAAAAAAAACAAAAAAAAAAAAAAAAAAAAAAAAAAAAAAAAAAAAAAAAAAAAACAACAAACAGAAAACAACACACCAGTGTAAGTGGCTAAATTAATCTGGAGCAGTACCAAATACACCCCAATTCAAATCCTACCCATGATATCCACTAGGCACATAATGTTGAATAAGCCACAGGACCACCCTGTCTCAGTTTACTTGTTTTGAAAAACAAGAAGAAGAAAAAGATAGTCTCCATCTCCTAGAGTTTACATAATCATAGGATTGTGCACATTAAACACAGGAACGTAAGGTCACCTCTGACCTGAAGCAAGCACTTGACTAACCACGCTACCATCACTGCTGCAGATCTAGCAGCAACTCTCTGATCTAGGCCTCACACTTTATTCATAAGGAGAAGAGCCTTACGGAAGAGAGCTTCAAAAATGAGCAATGCCCAGTATTTGGCCAGTAACTAAGCCTAGATTTTAACATTCCTCCATTTCTCTTTCTTGTACTCAGTTATATAATAATTAACAGTGTATGTACGGACTTTTTCTACAACAATTACATTCAGGAAGATTGTGGTTGAACCAACAGTAAACAAACATTAACATCAGTAGATGTTCAACTTATTCCCAGTGTAAAGTTACAATAAAGTTAACGTTCTTGGATTGCTAAAGAAAAGCACAATCCTAGAAACTAAATTTTTCATCTTTAAGACTACTCAGCTGGGCAGTGGCACACACCTTTAATCTGCTTGGGAGGCAGGGACAGGCGGATCTTTGTGAGTTCAAGCCAGCCTGGTCTACAGAATGATTCCACAGCCAGGGCTACACAGAGAAATCCTGTCTCAAAAAAAAAAAAAAAAAAAAAAAAAAGACTCCTCAAAGACGAATAGCCAAGGTACAGTGGTGCAAACCTCTAATCCCAGATACACGGGAGGAGGCTGAAGGAGGAAGACACCTAGTAAGACATCAGCCGAGGAGCACATCAAGAACCCATCCTCAAAAACTAAGGAAGAAAAACAGATATCTAGTGTATTTAGATTATGACATACCTTTTCAAATTCAATGAAAGCATAACAGAGGGACTCTCCTGTTTTCCAATCCCGGATAACTTCACAACTGAAAAGAAAAAAAAAACAAAAAACAAAAAACAAAAATTTTTAAAAAGTCAAAGAAAGGAAGGAAGGAAGGAAGGAAGGAAGGAAGGAAGGAAGGAAGGAAGAAAGAAAGAAAAGAAACCACGTGCTCGAATTCTTCAGACCAGAACAAATAAGCCAGCTATTAAACTCACAGAATTCTGGATCTCCAAAGTTTTCAGTAACAATTCTTTTAAACACACATACCTCAACGATCCAGTAAATGAATTATCTAACTTTACGTGGGGGAAAAGGGGAGCAGGTACTTCCTTTGAGCAAAAATAAACTACTAAATTCTTTTCATTTAAAATTATTTCATTTATTTTTTACATTTCTATGAACCCAAGTGATCTCAAACTCACAACAGCAATCTTCCTCCTCAATCTCCCATGCACCAAGATTAATGGACATTTACTGAACTACCATATCCGGTAAAATCTTAAAATCATGAAGTCTTTTTCAGTCCAAACATAAAAGCCTTAAAGTATATATATGCTAAGTATGCTTATTCTTTGGAATTTGTTTACACGAACCCACTTTGTAGCCCAGCTAACCTAGAACTCAGCATGTAGAGCAGGGCGGCCTTAATCACAGAGATCTGCCTGCTGCTGCCTCCCAAGCACTTTGATTAAAGACACAATTCACCACGGTTTGGGCTTATGCTTTGGATTTTAAAGTAAATGAGGCTCAAATTTAATACTGTAAGCACAGGTGCCACACAGAACTAACTTACCAAGCAATAATAAAAAGGAAGAGGCAAGAAGGTGGAGTTGAGAGCTGCTGACTTGTCTCTCTCCATGCATCGTACGAACCATTTTAAAAACATTAAATGAAGGGGCATCCTAAATGTGGTACATATTAATCAGCTAGAAAATAGTCTCCTGACTACCTTTACACATATTTGCATTAATAACATAGAGGGGCCCCTGATATGGTTCAAAGTAAAGGCACTTGCTCCTGGGGCTGAAGACCTGAGTTCACTCCCCAGCACCTACATGGGAAAACAACCATCTCCTACAAGCTGTCCTTTGATTTTCATATGTGCCCAGTAAATAAATACATGTATTTTCTAAAAAGCTGGCAGCAGTTTATTTTTATAATAATAATGTAACAGCTGGAGAGATGACTCTGGTTAACAGCACTTGCTGCTCTGCCAAAGGATCCACATCTCCTTCTCAGCAACCCAGCTGGTGACTCACAACTACCTAGAACTCTAGTTCCAGGATCTGACGACTTCTACCCTGAAAGGACACTTGCATACATGTGGCATACACTCACATAGACATACACATACATACTTTTAAAATAAAATACTCAGTGATAATAATAATAATAAATAATAATAATATAAGAAAAATTAACCAAAAGAAAAGAAAATTTTAATTGGAATAGTCTGGTATTTTATAAAACGCATGCTTTGAACGCAAGGGAACCCGAGTGGAATGCTTTGAGCTTATAATCACAGCACCTGCGAGGTAGAAACAGGTGGACCCCTAGGATGCAGTATGGCCAGCTGGCATAGCCTACTTGATGAGCTCTAGCAGAAGGAAATACTGCCCCAGAAATAAAAATAAACAGCTTTTTCAAACACGAGACACTACACCGTGGTGGACACCAAGGCTGTCCTCTAGCCTCGATATCCTGCGCATGCAAAACAAAATGAAACCCACAACTACAAACCAGAATTTTTTCGTTTCTAACATAAACTTGTAAATCTCAATACTCATGAGTGTGGAAGGCCAGAGAAGACCCTGTCTTAAAACCCCTGCACACGTACGCACACAATCACACAAACAAAAGGCTGGACACATAGCGTAATTGATGAAGCATTTGCCAAGTATGCAAGAAACCCTAGGCTTAATCCACAAAAGCACAGAAACTGCGTGTGATGGTCAGCTATAATCCTAGCACTCAGGAGGTGCAGGCAGGAATATTAGCAGGTTCAAAGTCATCCTCGGCTACGTGATAAGTTTAAAAAATATATAAAATTTGGAAAATTTAATTATGACAGGCTGGTGACAGTTTTAGGAGCTGAATTACTAAGTATTTTAAGTATTAAACAAGATTGTTGAGAATATTAGAGGTAGACTTAAATTGCTCAATTCATGTATTATGAAAATATGTTTGAGTTTGAAAACATACTTTTCTTTCCAAATGTTTAGATACCTGTAAAGTCACCAATATAAAATTCACCAAAGAGGCTGGGATTATGTCTCAGTGAAAGAGGATTTGCTGCTTAACATGCATGATGCCCTAGGTTTGATCCCTAGCCCCACTAAAAATTAAAACAACAAGTTTAAAAATTCACTCAGATTTGACGAACTCACCAACAATGTGCAATTAGAAAACTCTCCTGGGTGTGATGGCATGGAATTCTAAGTCCTGACACCCAGGTAGATCTCTCTAAGTTCACGCCCAGCATGGTCTATGTAACAAGTTACTGGCCTGTCAGAGCTATATAGTAAGACCCTGTTTCAAAAAGGCAAAAAGTAAAACAAACACCAAAACCAATCAATTAAAACCTACCTATTCCCAAATTTCTCTTTCACTAACCCTGAAATTACCTTCTTATTGGTCCAAATCTTGAGAATATTATCTCCAGGTCCTCATCTGTGGTCACTGGATTTAATTTACACACAAACAGCACGTTTTCTGGAGGTTTAATATCTGCATCAGGTAAGTCTCCCACCTAAAGTTACAAATAATCAAGCATACAAATCAATTCCTTTAGTTTCTATTCCAAGTATTTTCATCCAAGCCCACAACATCGATTTCCTAAAAACATCTAAATTTCCTAAAAACATCTAAACATCCTGAACTATTCAGGGACCACCCCCCCCCAAAAAAAATAAGAAATATTTCAAGGACTACAAGATGGCTTGTGGGTAAAAGAGCTTGCCATCAGGCCCAATGACCTGGGTTCAATTTCAATTCTCACATATGTCAGAACATGTCCAAGAATGGACTCACTTGAGATTTCTGAGAGCTTGTGAGAAACTGCCAAGAAACCAACACAAGAGTCTTGTGACCTCAGTTTCTTCAAAAACACAGAACTGTCCTTGGAATGTGCTTCTGTGCCTCTCCCAGGTATTTCAGATAGGAATGAGTTTACTTCAAATTATTCCTGACAACTGGCTGTTGTTTAAATCTGTGTGGACTCATGGGACTCCTCTTACCCATCAGAGAACAAATTGTCAGATGCTCTGAGTAAAGTGGGTTACTGCATGAAACTTTAGTCTGCCTCATTTATCACCTCCATTCTCCCAGGTCCCATCACCTCTTGAGCACTAAACAGACGCAGTGGAAGAACCAACTTCTGAAATTTGTTCCTTGGCTTCCACGTGCACACTATAACCTGCATATGTACTTATACATATATACACAAAAAACAAAATGTAATAAAATTTTTTCAACTAAAAAAAAAAAAATCTAGTACTATATCTTTCCTGGTATTAACAACACTAAGAGCTATCTATGTTTTTACCCAACTTGCTTCTAGCTCTTCAAGCAGTATCGCAATTTCCACCCCTTTACTAACTTCTAACACTTACTTACGTTTTAGGCAGGGCCTTACTGGAGCTCAGGCTGGACTCAAGCCTGAGGCCTTCCCGCCCTAGCTTCTGAGTACTGAGAGAACAAGGCCTGTGGCACCGCACCAGGGGCAATTTCCACTTTAAAGGCAGGTACAGTGAATTAGACAGTTACGGCCCAGCAGTTAAGAGCACTGTTTGCTCTTCCAAAGGACCTGGGTTCAATTCCCAGCACCCACATGGCAGCTCACAACTGTCTGTAACCCCAGATCCAAGGGATCTGACACCTTACACTAATGCACAAACAATAAAATTAAATAAATTATAAAAAAAAAAAAGTTACAGCTAAGACATGACTCTAGGCTTATCCTAGCTTCAAAATCCCAAATAATCCCCATTTTTAAGTATTTGACATGTTTTTTTTTTTAAAAAGATGTAAAGCATAAGTTATGAAAGATACAAGAAAAGCCACTGGGGCTAGCTCAGTGGTAAAGTAAAGGCATCTGCCATCAAGCCTGATGACCTAAGTTGGACCCTCAGTGAAGCAGAGAACTAACTCTCACACGTCGTCCTCTGACCTTCACACATGCACCTAACATACACCCACACACAAAATAAAAGTAATGCATTTTAAAATTAATCATTTTAAAAATGTATTATGTATACAGTGTTCTGCCTGCATGTGTGCCTGTGCACCAGGAGAGGGCACCAGATCTCATTATAGATGGTTGTGAGCCACCATATGGTTGCTGGAAATTGAACCCAGAACCTTTGGTAGAACAGCCAGTGCTCTTAACCTCTGAGCCATCTCTCCAGCCCAAAATTAATCATTTTAATTAACGAAATAAAAACTACCTGGCCTAAGAAACAGATACATTCCCCTGGTCCCATTGTCCTTCTGCTTTGCTCACTAAAAAGACAGACAGACAGACAGGTTCTTTTTGGCTATTCCTCTTCAGACCTCCAAGATGTTTACCTCCCACATCATTAAGAAATGCATTATTTAATTTTGCTTATTACTGAAAGTTTGAAAAGTACAATTATGTAGAATCCAGTGGTCAGTGATTTGTAATACCTAGTTCTTTCCATACTGCTTTTCATAATGGAGCCACAATTTCTATAGTTTTTTTTTTCCCTTAAACTCTCAACCTTTACTTTATCCAAGCTCTAGTCAAGATCAAAGTCGGCTGCAGCAGCAAACAGAGCGCTGCAGAATGCTCGGTACACTTCCTACAAGAGACCACAGAGGGCAGCAGTGAGAGAACTGTGATGTCGGTAATGTATTTTCTAAAAGCATTTTGAGGGCAGCAACATTCCTTTACAAGTATATTTGAAAATTCTGAGATGATCATGTAAAGAATTACATACTGGATAAACACACCACAAAGAAGATCTTGAAATTCAGAAATAGGAGCTTCAGAGCCATAATCTACTCAACATTTCTGAAGCCGGTCAAAAGCAACAGCAGCCTCTTAACCAGGCCCCAGGAAGACGCGTCATAGCTAGATGAGGCGGCACACAGCTAGAGCCCGTGCTTTTGGGCAGGCTGATGAGCCAAGGAGACTGAGACTAACCTGGGCAATACAGTAAGACCCTGTCTAAAAAATAAAAAAAATAACAGAAATCCATAAAGGACAGGAAGATGAATAAGAAAGAAGTTAATGGAGAAAAAAACAAACAAACAAAACTTGCAGGTGGCTGAAGAGATGGCTCAGTGGTTAGGAGCATGTACTGTTCTTTCTGAGACCTAATTTTGGTTCCCAGAATGCATGTCAGGAGGCTCACAAAGCACCTGTAACTCCAGGTCCATGAGGAACTGACAAGTCTGGCCTCCATGGGCACCTGTACTCACACAAACACATACACACTATTAACTTGGCTGATGCAGCTAGCTAAAGAAATGTGATTCAGTGTAGTGAACTTAGTAATTAATCAGCTCAAAAAAAGATTCTCTAATGTACATAAAAATAGTCCAATAAACAATATTTAAAAATTATATACATACTAAATAACTATCTCCCATTAAAAAATTTTTTTTGTTTACATTTGTGTGTATTTGTGGACATGGGTGTGGGAATGCCATGATGTACATATGGAGGTCAGAAGACAACTTACAGAGTTGGCCTCTCTCCTTTTACCATGTGGGTTCTGGTGACTCAACTCAGGTCCTCAGGCATGTTAGCAAGTGCCTTTACTCACCAACTCACTAAGCCTTCCTCTTTTTAAGGCACTAAGTAATTTATAGAGAAATAAAATCAACCTGCTTATTTTCATGTTACTGCGTCCTACACGATGTAATCCCAGCTGGGCACAGTGGCATTCGCCTTTAATTCCAGCACTCAGGAGACAAAGGCTCTCTGAGTTTGAGGCCTGCCTGATCTAGGACTGCCAGGGCTACAAAGAAACCATGTCTCAAAAAGCCAAAAAAAAAAAAAAAAAAAGTAATCCAGAAAAAACCCGCACTAAATTTTTTAATAGTTTATTATCACAAAAGCAGATATACTTCCAAAAATGTGTTGTTATATAACAACTATTTGACCAAAATTATTATCTTACCATCTCCAGAAGAATAGCTTGAGTTTTAGCCTCTTTTTCTGCCTTTATTTCTTCTACTTCTTCAGCCGATCTTCCTTTGAAATCATCAATTTCTTCATCTGCTCCTATTCGACCACTCTGTAAAATATAAGTTAAAATTCTGAGAATCACAGATATCATGTTTTATTCTTGGCCTATCAAACATAATAGAATAGAAACTTATAAACATCTGGGCACTCATTTAAATTAATTCCATAGTACTTGTGTTGGTATAATTTTTTTTTAATGTATACACCTTACCCTTGTTCATTTAAATACTGATTTCTCCCCCACCCCACCCCCAACTCTCTGGTTTCAATCTGGATATTGCATTGTGATACTCATTCTAAGCATCCTGTCTCAACTCTTGCGTAACCAGGAACAAAATAAGGCAACTAGACACAATGTTGAGCAGGGAGGAGCCAGAAGGCAGGAGAGGAGTGGGAGGAGGAGTGAGAGGAGAGGGGAGAGCAGAGCTAGAGGAGAAAGCTTGGAGGATGTGGAGCATGAACCAGACCTAAGATTTCACAAAAAGCAAGTATAATGTGGGAAATCTGAATTTTAGGAAACTGAGGGCTTGAAGGTTTAGGAGGGAGTAAATATTGCCCAGCATTGTGTTCTAGGTTAACTAAAATCTCAGTCTCTGTATGGTGATTTGATTATACAGCTGTTTAAGATTAACAGCAAGCTTTACTAGAAGATAAACCAATAATAAATATTGTCACCTACAACATACTTGCCAGACTTGGCTTCTAACTGATTATAAAATCAAAAGAAGTTATTTATATAAATGCTATTATTTAACTAAGCATTCATTAGAAAGGGTACATAATTTTAGAAATAAATACCAAACTCAACCATAAATTTAGCTCTGAGAAAACCTTGAGAACACCTTAAATTACATTGTAAATCCCTGAGAGAACACTCACTACAATCCATAGAAATGTTTGGGTTTAGCCTGGTTCCAGAATATCCCCACTGAAAAAGTATCTTACAAGACGATGTTCAGTTTGACCATGAGCTATTTCCCTAGAGTTGGTTGAGAAGAGAAGCTTCCAAGCACTACTTATATAAGGTTTCAAAACTAAGACTTCTTGTAGAATAGGAACTACAGAGAGAAATTAAGGAAATAATGAGAAAGCTACAAAAAATCCCCATCTATGGGCGAGAATGGAATTCTAAACTTGCTCTAGTGTAATAGTACAAACAAGATGAGCAAAAGAGAGAATTGTTTTAATATACCTATAAAAAAAAAAGGTGCTACCAGCTTGGTATTGTGGCAAACTCCTTTAATCCCGGAATGTGGGAGGCACAGGCAGGCAGATCTCTATGAATTAGAGGTCAGCCTGGTCTACACAGCAAAATCCCAGGCCATCCAGAACTACAATAGTAAGAATCTGTCTCAAAAGAAAAGAAACAAACAATACCAAGATGCTACTTACATCTAGTTGTTCCCTTGTAGGCTCTGGTGAGCGATCAGGAATTAATAAATCAAGAGGGTCTTCAAACGGGTCATCTAAAACCACTGTATGATTTATCCTTCAGAACAACACAAGTCAAAGGTTACACTGGTTTCAGACTCCACACTTATTCTCACAGATTTCAGCATGTAACCATTTCTAACTCCCAAAGCTTTACAGCGTATGGGTACTATTGACTGTATACAGTTTACTTCTATCATGGGCGGCACTGTATTCCCTTTGACATTATTACTGGCCACAATGGCTGGCACTTTTGTAATCCCCAACACTCAGGAAGTCAAGGAAAGAGAATCAAAAGCCTGAGCTAGAGAATAAGTTCCAGGTAAGCTGGCCTATAGCAACATTCTGTCTCAAAGCAAACATGAAAAAAACTAAAGAAAGAAAAAAAAAGAAACTCTCTCAATCTTTAAAACAAAATAAACCGAAGACTAATTCTAACTAACACAACGTTAGTACAAAGGAAAAACATCCAAGCTCCTTTGACTACTGACTAGTTGTGACAGTTAATTCAACTGTCACCTTGGCAGGATCTGGAAAGACCTGGAAAGGGAGTCTCGGCTAAAGCGGGCTGTGGGATGCCTGTGAAGCAGGAGGCCCCGTCTCCTGGGCTGGGGCCGGAATGAATGAAAAGGAGGGGCTAAGCACAAGCACCCCTTGCTTGGCTTTACCCCATGGACGCTCCAAGCCCATGTTAACCCTACTGCACCCTTAGCTCTGAACTGAAAGGAACCATTTTCTTAAGTTACTTTTGTCAGAGTATTTTATCACAGAAAAGTAAGAGAAACTGAGCTAGTAGTCCTATGTGTAGAAATCTCATTCATGCTGCTACATGTTCAACACTACAGTGTTAAGACATTCTAGTGTACTAAGACAGTAAAGGTAACCACACCTGATATCTTGGTATGGAACAAAATCCTTGTCCACAAAGGTCTCGTTGATTTTCTTAACTATATCCATGCCTTCTGTCACTTCACCAAACACTGTATGAACTCCATCAAGGTAATCTAGATTTTCTCCTGTAGTAATAAGAAACTAGACCGAAGGGCACATAATAAATATTTAAAAACATATATAACTCTGAAATCACTTAGAAATACAAAACCAAGACTCCAGACTTACTGTGTCAAGTCTCATACACTTACGTTTAAAACTAAATAAAAAGCAGAGCTTGTGTTTACATTAACAGGCGCCTCAGTGTCCCCAACGGTTGAAAACACTTCAACAAGACAGGCATGATAGTGCATGTGCACACAGTGCCCACGCAAGCCACAAGAGGGCATCAGATGCCCTAGAACTGGCGTTTCAAAGCCTCCTGAGTCGTCATGTAGATGCTGGGAACTGAGCTGGAGCCTCTGGAAGGGCAGTTAGTGCTCTTAACCTCTGAGCCATCTGCCCTGGTCCCAACCCCCCGCCCCCAAGTGCCCTTCAATATAGAAAAGAAATACTTTGGCATTTTTCCCTGAAAAATGTTGTCTAATACACTCTCTCATCACTGAGTAACTTGAAAAGGCTGCTTCTAGCTCTCTATGCCAAGCAAAGATCATCTCACCCATGTCCTAACCTCCCCCCACCCGTGTCCTAACCTGAGACCCATGCTGGTCGCTGCCGTTGTTCACCATGGACACAGTGCCTTTCTTCCTGTGCTTAATCCTTGGCACTTTTTCTGCCTCAAAAAAGCTGGCTTGATCACCATACAGTTGTCTGAAAGCATACGATAAAGTTATAAAACTTCAGTAAGTTCCAAACTAACCTGGGCTACAGAGTAAGACCCTTTCTCAAAAGCAGTCAATAAATGAACAGATAAATAAAAACAGAGGGTGGGGATATTGCTCAACTGGTACAATGTATGTTTAGAATGTGTACTGTGTGTTCATGATTGCCAGCAATGTAAAGCCATGTTTAATGGTGCATGCCTCTAATCTCAGCACCTGGAAAATGGAGGCAGGAGGATTACCTCAAGCCCATTCTCAACTTGACAAGATCAAGTTCAAGGTCAGCCTGGGTAACATATGATACTGTCTCTAAATACATATATACACATGTATGCATATTGTCCTGGCTATTCATTTATCAACTCGATATGAGCTAGAGTTAGAGTTATTTGGAAAGAGGAACCTAAACTGAGAAAATGGCTCCATCAGACTGCCTGTAGGCAGTCTACAGAACATTTTCTTGATTAATGACTGATGTAAGAGGGTCTAGCCCAGAGTGGGTCAGTGCCACCCTAGTCAATGTTCTGGCTGTGTAAGGAAGTACACTGAGCAAACCCTGAGAAGCACAGTGGCGAGAAGTGTTCCTTCATGGCTTCTGCTTCAGTCCCTGCCTTAAATTCTGGTCCTGACTTCCTTTAGTGATGGAGTGTTACCTGAGAGAAATAAACCCTTTCCTTTCCAAGCTGTTTTCACAGCAATAGGAACCCTAACTAAAATCCATACATGAGGACTTACCCAAATACAGACTCTCCTCCACGGCCAGTCCCTGTAGGATCGCCTGTTTGTATGATAAAATCCCTCTATAATAAAGAGAACTCTTTGTTAATTCACTTTGCAACATGTTTTCAATCAAAAAGCATGACTAATATCTACCAACTTACCTGTACATTGTGAATAAGGCAATAGTTGTAATATTTTATTTTGCACAACTTCAGAAAATTCAAGCAAGCTGAAAGAAAGTAAAAACTAAATTACAGGAACGCAAAAATTCAGTTTTAAACAATTTGTAAAAGCATAATTAGTACAATTTACTCTCTACATTTGCATTTTTATTAAAAGAAAAACAAAGTTTCTGTGAGGTGGCTCAGCACGTGAAGGTGCCAGCTGCCAAACCTAAAAACCTAAGTGTAAGCTGCAGAACCTACATGGCAGAGAGCTAACTCACAGAAGTTACCCTGACTCGGCAAGCATGCTATGGCACGCATTCACGTTCAAATAATAAATAGATATTTAAGGAAAGGTCTAATGCCATAAAAGGAGTAGGGGCGCTAAGTCTTTTTAAAAGCCAGCTTCTCTGAGGGCGTGGCGACTGGAGGGCTTCCCAGGCAGTGGATAGTCCCACACCCATGCATGTGTGGGGAGTGCCAGCTGGACAGCGAGCTGGGAGAGGGACATGTTGGCAATGAAGAGGTATATGCCCAGATTTCATTGTATAGTACACATGGATGAAATTCTCAAAACTAAGGAAAAACCATTCTTAAAATAAAAATTAAAAGGTAATATATTTTAAATATCATTTTCTTTTCTTATGCCCTTTTGGACACCAGAATTAATGTTGGAAATAAGCAATTATTTAGTCATAGATTGGCTTTTAAGAGAAAAGATATAGATGATGCCATAATGAAAAAGAAATCTGGCAGAATGTATGAAAATGAATACAGATTATATAAACTAGAGAAAATCAGACATCTATGGGACTTTTTGTTTCACAATATGTGAAAACTACTTCACAGGCTGGAGTTATATGTAGCTCAGGTACAGTAATTATTAAGCATTCCTGATACCGTGAGTTCAATCCCCAGCATCACACACACAAAGGTTTGTAAAAACCTTTACTTACAATGAACAATCTTTCTCACCTAAGTTTACCTGAATATTCAATAAACATCTACTGTGTACCTCTGTGGTGGTGGGCTTAGAAATGTCCTTCCTAGGCTCAGGTATTTGAATACTCAGTCTTCAGCTGGCGGCACTGTTTGAAGAAGCTACTAATTTTTAGGAGGGGCCTTGGCAATGGAAACGTATCCCCAAGGGCAGGCTGAGTGCTCCTAGCCTCACCCACTTCCAGTTTGTTCTCCTGTCAGAGATGATCTCACAGCTGCTTATCCAGCCAAATACTGCCATGCCTGCCCCACCATTAAGATCCGTAATCCAAAATAGATTAGTTGTGTGTTAAAAACTTGTAGTAAAGTTGCTAATGGATACTTAAGACTTCATTTACCGATTATCTTCACTTCAACAATTAAAAGCAAAACAAAAATGAACCTGGATATGCATCTACTGACTGGTAAATACACATATAACTAGATGCCCAATCATCCTCCTCAAATACATACACACAAATAGATTCGTTTTTGGTGTCCCACTTTCCTTGTAGAACCCTGCTTGTTAATAATGCATGATAACCTCATCTCCACTTCAGGAGTGCACAACTCTGTGAAAAGGGTTCCATTCATTACGTAAAGTGTGGTTCTACATGCAGAGTGAGCTCCAGGGGAAAAAAGGTAAAATCAAGAAATAAGTTCAGTACCATAAAGCACCCTTTGAACCCTCAGATCCAGCCACCCTTCAGCCTCCAAGCTTTTCCCAGTAATAAAAGGCAACTGAGCACTTTCTTTAAGCTCTTTTGAGTTGCATTTCTATCACCTGACAGAGTATTAAGTAAAAACACATTCCTATGCCTTACTCACTGCCCCAAGGCACTAATGTTCTCAAGAGTGGCTGACACTGTAGGAGGCTTCTTTCTCCCGACCCCCACTCTTATTTAGAAGAGAACAGGGTTCCTCTGTAGCCTTGACTGTCCTGGAACTCACCCTGTAGAATAGGCTAGCCTCAAATTCACATCAATCTGCCTGCCTCTGCCTCCTAAGTGCTGGGACTGGAGTACAGGCTTGCACCAGGCACCAAGATAATCGAGATATTAAGGTATAGTTCCAGCTCTCCCGTAGCTCAGTACTGAGAGAAGAGGATCATGCACATCACTCCAGGCCAGTAAGTACATGTTCTAATAAGATGAGTGCCACTGGGATCTACAAAACCACGGAGACAGAAGAAACACATGAACTTTACTTGACCTTCTGGGTGTCACAGAAGAGGTCACAGTCTATCTAAGCTCTGAGGAGCCAGGAAGTTCTCAGAAGGACAGGAGTGGAGAGGAATGTGGGCAGTGGCAGCAGTAGGAAAACGGAAGGCTTCAAGAGAAAGTCAAGCATTTGTAGGCGAGGGGAAAAACAGCTGGGCGTGGGAGGTGTGTGTGGCAGGAGGCATTCACACCTTCAGACTCTGTGACCATCAGCATGGCACATGAAACGATTAAGGAGTATCTGACCCGACTGGACTGACCAGTCAGTTTGCGAAGTCACTCCACAAACCAATTCATCCCAGCGTTGCCAAGTTTCTTGCTAGTTCCAGAAAAACTCCAAACAAGCTGGTAAGAAAACCCTGACTGCCACTCCTCTCCGAAAAGGCTAGGTTTTGTTTCGTTTTTGTTTTCTGCCTGACCTCTCCCCATCCCACCAGGGAAGCCTTACTCACGTCTGCTTTCCACAGTAACGTTCACATCCTTCTACCGGGACTCTAAGTTAAAACTGGATCCCACTTCGTTCTCCTCCAACGGACGCCTAACCTGTAACTGAGCCCCGGCGCCTCCACATAGGCACACACGGGACGTCACGTAACCAGGAGGGGGGCGGCAGCCACTCTTCCGACTGACGCACCCTACCGGCCTTCATCCTGGCGAATGACACGTAAAGCAGCGCCTAAGTCTTAAGAAAGCATGGCGGGGCCACGCAAGCTCTGGGCATGGCCTCTGCAGGCCACCTCACCAGCCCGACGCGCCGCAGTCCTTCAGGAAGGACCACGCCGGCCTCCCACAGACACTCGCCCCATTTCCCAGGCAAGGCCCGCGCGAGAGCTCGCGCGGAAACGGCGGGGGGCTTGGGCGCCCGCCGGAGCGCGAAGGACGGGGCCTCACCGCGCGGCCGCTCTTCGGTGTACAGGTCGATGACCACGTCGCCCAGAGTCGTCTCCAAGAGGACCGCCATGGCGCCCGCCTCCCCTCAGGAGCAGGCCCGCGGCCAACACGGGCGCAGCCGGCGCGCGCCTACGCCTTACGTCACGGACGCGACCCGTGGCGTCATCCGCGGGCGCCGCCGGCCGCCTTGGAGGCGCGGCCTCCAGCCGCCGACTGGGCGGGTCCTTGGGGCGGGACTTTGTTCCTGTTTTGGTTTTTTGGAACCTGCTAGTGTAGATCAGGACCGTGTGTTGTTTAGCAGCACAGGGAGTTTTTATGCGACAAATCAAAATACAGTAAGCTCCAGGCTTACTTCGGGTTTTTTATATGCGATTATTTTAATTTTTAAAATACTAACTTGCGGAGAGGCTGCCTGCGCGACAGCGTGCGAGTGAGTGGTGGTCAGAGGACCACCATCTTCCACTGTGTGTGTCCGGGGAGTGGCTCTCAAATCATGAGGGCTCCGTAACCGTCCGTCTAACCTTTAAATTTCTCCTCATAACATCTGAGAAGACTTAACAAAACTACCCTTTTCCTGGATGCTGATAACATGTTTCCATGTTTTACTGGAATCTTTTCTAGCCAAGTATACTATTCACTTTTATGTCGTTTCGTGTGTACTTGTGAAAATCACGGATAGGACAGATCATGAGCATATCCAAGAAGGTGAGGAGAAAGGGCTTTTTAAAGGTAAACTTAAAAAATATATATATTAGGCCGGGCCTGATAGCGCACGCCTTTAATCCCAGCACTCAGGGAGGCAGAGGCAGGCCGATTGATGTGAGTTCTAGGCCAGCCTGGTATAAAAAAAAAAAGAGTCCAGGACAGCCAAGGATACACCGACAAACCCTGTTTAGGGGTGGGGGTGGGGGCTAAGGAATGTTACTTGAAACAATTCCATGGCTGTTAGCAGACACCTTCACAGCCAGCCCCAGAAATGCGGGGACAACAGGACACCTCATTACCAGCGGCCAGGAGGGGACACTGTCGCCACAAGCCACAGGTGCCCTTCGGCGCATGCGCTGGATCACTTTCTAAAAGGACTGCATGCACCACCACCCCCTTCCCGCCTTACCCAGAGACAGCCTCTGTAATCCTTACTCTAATAAACTCCCATGTGGGACCTGCCGCGCGGCGTAACCTCCGTCGCATAAATCTCAACATTTGGTCATCTACTCCATTACTCTGTCATCTCCGTTCTCCTATGGAACTTTAGCCACCACTGTTTACCACGGCCACACATTAACTCCTGTCCATCTCCTATTAACATTGGAGACCAGGTAATTCTCTCCCCTCCGGACCAACACCCCTCACCTCTTTCCCCTAAATAGCAGGGTCCCTTCAAGGTGATTCTAGTGAGCCCCTCAGCTCCCAAGCTTAAGGGCTTCCCTCATTGGATTCACCTCAAGCTTACCCCTCCTTCAAGATAATCGCCCTTTCTACAGATCAACTCCAGCAGGACCCTGCTTTCTTAAACTCCAGAGGACGGCAAGACCAACCACCTCGACTCCAGTTCCAGAGAAATGAGGCTTCACTCCGGCAGCCTAACTCGACCCTACGGGATTGGATATGTATTTCTCCTCTTGCCCCTCTTGTTTGCCTCTGTCCAGAGTAACCCTTACATATGGAGATTCGAGGTTCAAGAAACCCTCATTGGTAACAAACAGTCTCTCCAAATAGGGGCGGGAAATTGCTCTATGGAAGGCTGTCAGGAGCCGATTGAAATCGCTGTCGCCCCCATATCCACTCCTCCTTTCTTATTTGATAGAATTTTTGTTTGCTTCCTCTTTGACCAAACAGAAAGCTATTGCAAGGAATGGCCAGACAGATACGGAGGCTGCCCGTACTGGTCTTGCCAAATCCACTTACCAGCACAAAAGAAGCTCCTTCGCTTATATAGAAAGAGCCTCTTCTTCTATATCCAGGATCCATGGGATCCCAGATGGGAAACGGGCATTGTTGGCAAACTCTACCACCGCTACAAACCTGAACTTCCTATAAGTACAATCTATATCCAGAGAAAATACATCCCAATTACCCAATCCCTGAATATGGGAGAAGTAGTAAACATAATTAAACACTCCTCCAAGGTCATTGCCTCTTTAACATCCCCACTCCTAAATAATACAAATCTGTCATTTCGTCTCTTACTTCAGACTCTGACCTTGGCCTACAAGCTCCTTAATGTCACCCAACCTGGCCACTTTGCAGATTGCTGGCTGTGTGTCCCACCTGGGAGCAGCTCAGAGCTACCACTGACAGCTTCTCCAGTGACCCTGTTAAATAACTTTACCTCGCCATTCACTAGCTGTCCTGACTCTGATGTTGCCATGATACCCTATCTTTTTCATATCACCCTCTTTGGCATGCCAAGCTGTTTCAAGGCCTCTGGGACACATTCAGTGGGGACATTAAGTTCCCTAGACTGCAACAAAACTATAACCCTCGATACCGCATCTCAGCCCCAGTGCCCTACTGTTCTTAACGCCTCGATTCTTTGTGGTACTCTGGTCTACCATCGCCTACCCGCTGGCTGGTCAGGAGTTTGCACACTGGTGCTTCTCTTCCCCAAGGTGGGGGTGATACATGGAGAGGAGCCCTTACCAATCCCGGTCGTGAACTCAGTAGCTGCCCGGCTTGATAAGAGGGAAATTCAAATCCTGCCCCTCCTGGTTGCTACAGGACTCACTGAGAGTATTGTAACCAGGACATCCGGACTGGCCACTTCCCTAACCTTGTTTCGCCAGTTTTCTTACCAGTTTATCCAGGACTTCCAGCAGGTGGCTCAGATAATACTAACTCTTCAGGGACAGATCGACTCCCTAGCAGCTGTGGTGCTTCAAAACCGACGAAGGTTGGATCTTCTCATAGCTAATGAAGCTGGCCTTTGCCTCTTCCTCCAAGAGCAATGCTGTTTTTATGTCAACCAATCAGGTATAGTAAAAAACAAAATCCAACAACTCCAGACAGACCTCCAAAATCAGAGTGACCAACTTGAGACCTCCAGGGCATTTGAAAACTCCAAATGGAAATGGATTCTGCCCTTCCTTACTCCTCTCCTTGTCATCTTTTTGCTTTTACTGTTTGCACCCTGCTTTATTAACTTCTTCTCTACATTCCTCCAACAACAAATGCAAAAAATCTCTAACCAAACCATTAATCAGTTACTGTTTCAGGATTATCAACTACTTGCCACAAATCCTGATGGTGAGGACCAGCTGTAGTCCTAATGACAATGCCCCTAATCAGCAGGAAGCAGCCTGAAGAGCACGAGTCGCCCCTATTCCCTCCTCACCATTACCTCTCTTCCTAGTTCATTGTTTTTAAATAATAACCAAAAGTGAGGAATGTTAGCAGTCATGCACCTTCACAGCCAGCCCCAGAAATCCGTCGTCGCAGGACACATCATCACCGGCTGCCAAGATACACTACTGTTGCCACAAACACATGTGCCCTTTGGCGCATGCACTTTGTCACTTTATAAAAGGACTCACAGCGCCCCCCCTTCCCACCTTACCCAGAGACAGTCTCTGTAACACCTCTCCTAATAACCTCCCATGTGGGACCTGTTGTGTGGCACGATTTATGAAGCCGAACTTAGCCCTGCAGCATAAGTCTCAACTGCGGCTGGAAGTGCTCACCAAGCAGGCGTGGCCCGTCATTTCCAAGGGAATTAGGAAACAAATTGGTAAAGGAAAAATGAGCTTATTTACTGCCTGGTCCCATGTGAGGTGTCTACTCCAAAGCCCTGCACCTGTGGCCATCTTATAGAAATGTCACGATGAAACTCTCTTGTGCATAATTAGTATACACTAATAAAAACACTTAAAAAGCACCTGTGTAGCTGTGATGGAAGTTGTGGGTTCTTTTGTATGTTGAGTGTATATGTGTTTCTTTTGAAATAAGTCTTCTAGAATGCAAAGCTTAAAAAAAAAAACACTGAACAAAGCTGGAGTCCTGGAAACTAAAACTGTTAATGGCGCTAACATTTTCTAGCTTTGTGTTCATGTATGCCTATTGTATTGTGACTGCTATTTTCTGTTTGTTCTTGTAGATTTTGAGGCAGGCTCACTATGTGACTACCATGTTTTCTGTGTGCATGTGTTTGTGTCTCTGAGTGCACACACACGTCTGCATGCAGGTATCCACAGAGCCCAGGAGAAAGTGGTGGATGGCTTGGGGCTGGAGTTACAGGTATTATGTGAGCTGCCCATCATGAATAGGGTACTCCAAAGTCCACACTGAGCAGCAGTTCCTTTAACTACTGTGCTTTGTCCAGCCCTTGACTAAGACCTTTAAGCAGATCTACTTAAAGATATGTCCAAGCATGTGCACTTCTAGAAGGGCCTTTGTAATAACTAAAAATATTAGACATTGGACACTGTCAACTCGGCATGGTCTAGAACCCTCTTTCTTGAGTCGCCTTGGGTTCTGGGAGCAGCAGACGCTTGCAGGAAGA